TTATAATAGCAGTTTTGAAAATTCGTCCAAAATGAACTGACTTCATAATCACTGAATTCATTCATTTGCATACATCGAGAAATAGAACTGGTTGGGGCATCAACCTCTTTTAACAACTCATAAATCTTTTTATACTCGTCGGGTGTTTTTAAAATGTTTGACGAAACTGCATTTATAAAGAAATTAAAATGTTTGACGTCACTGCATTTATAAAGAAATTAAATAAGTATAAAAGTGTTTAACGAAATTTAGTATTTGCTAAAGTATATATTATAATTTATTAATATTAAACAGTCGTGAAGGTTTTAGAAAATTTAAGTTATAATTATTTTTTTAATATTTAACTTTTTAAAACCTTATATGAAATAAAAAAATAGGTTCTTATTATTTAAGTAATATTTTTAATAATAAAACTTAATATTTTTAAAAATAATTTTTTCATTTATATTTTTATACTTTTAGAAATGAAACTTAATATTTTTAACACTTTTTTGTTAATATTTTCTTAACCAAATTTTAAACACAATTTTAATTTAAATTAATTTTTAATTTAATATTCTTAGTTTTTATTCTTACATTTTTTTGTTCAAATCTTTTCATTTTTGTTTTAACATGTTCAAACTAGAGAAATAATGATATGATATATTGACTTATATATAAATGTTAATGAGTAATGTATTATATATAAATGTTAATGAGTAATGTTATCATTAAGCAACATCGTTATTACTTATTATTAAATAAAAACTAAATAATAAATAACAACTTAATGTTTTTTACAAATATTAGTTTTTTCTACTTACAAATGAATGATTTAATTATAGAAATCCTTTCAACCGTAGTGATTCCATCAGTAAACTCACAAGAAAATGAACCACCTTCTGATATCCTTATAGTAGTATTGAGAAAAGATTTTGTTTTAAATTCAGAGTGTTTTATAACTTGATTAGTAATCAGAGATCGCCATTTTGCTGAAATTCTTTCAGCTCGTCCATATGTGCCACACCAGAGTGTTTGGGGATAGTTAAAAAATACTGATTCTGTTGGAGATCCGTGTGAAATTTTTAACGGTTTTGTTTTAAGTTGTATGATTACAGAATCTGACCCTAAAATTAGAAAATGTGCTATTTTTTTTAATAGAAGAAAAATTTTAACTGGCAATTAAAAACTTTTATGATTTTTAACAAATTCTCAATCAAATAATTATGACGGCATCTTTTTCTTGTAATTTTTATGCATTTTACATAATTAAATATATTATGCAATAATAATTATTTAAAAAAGCTAATTTAATTAAATATTTAAGTTGCTACTGAACAAAAAAAAAATAAAAAGACTAATTTTTTTTTTGATTTTAAACCTTGTTTAGACGGTAAAAGTTTGTTTTAAGCAATAAATAAAAATAAATAAAAATTTCAATAATAAAAATAAAAATTTTTATTGTAGAAACTTTTATTAAAGTGGTATTCATATATAATTAATAGTATTAATAAATCAGTATCAATAAACACTATTAATTAAATACTATTCTTTATAAGATACATAAATTTATTATAAGTCCCAAATTTGTTAAAGCTATATAAAATAAGCTATTTTTTCAGATTGTTTTTAAGAATAATAGACAAAGATATTTTCAAATAATAAAATATTACTATTCAAAATCTATTGTTACACAAACAAAAAATGTTTATTATAACAAATTAAATTAATTTAAAAAATATTTTGTTTTGCATCATGAAGTCATCCATAGATAAAAAAATGTAATTATATAGCAGTTAAATGTTATATACTATTTATGCATGCATTACAATCATCATTTATGCACGCATCAAAATCATCATAAGGTTAGGTCTTATGCATGCATCAAAATTAGGGATGTACCGAAGCTTCGGCTTCGGCTTCGGCATGCCGAAGCTTCGGCAATTTTGCCGAAGCTTCGGTTCGGTCGAAGCCAGGTCAATTTTTTGCCGAATCTTTGGCTTTGGCAAAAAATTTTAAGTAATTAAAGTATTAAGCTACTGTTGTGCAAGTTATAAAAATATGCTAATTGCCAGTGTCTAATTAAGTTGTAAATTCAGGACTACAGAGTTAAAGTTGGAGTCTATACCGTATACTTAGTATTATTTACTCCCAAATATCTTGTTATAGAGGGGATAATAATAAATAAGTAGAAATATTTTGAATATAATAGTAAAATTAAGGAAGGTCCTCATACGCTATGAAGGCTTCCAAGTGTGACTTTAGATGAACTGAATCAGCATTTTTATGCAGAATAAACACCTTATAATTTAAAACAAATTAAAACTTTTTAAAAATAAAATGGAAAAAAAACCTTAATTTGTATTATGTAACGAATTCATATTAATTATTGTGTGGGATTACCGCAAATAGAACAAAATTTGGTTTCAACACTTGACCTATAAACCTTAGTAATCTCACTTTAAGGAAAATTAAAGATACGTTGCTACTATTTTAAATTCTGTGTATGTTTAATTTAAAAAAAATTTATTTAACCATAATAATAACAATTTACAAATTTTCATCGTAAATTTACAGAAATTGGTTAGGTGTCACTTATATAGTTACAAACTAGTCAATGGAGTGACACATAAAAAACATAAAGTTCTCAACAACAAAAAAGGAAGAAAAGCAAATGAAATATTAATGAGGAGAATAAAAAAAAGAAAAAAAAAGTCAACAAAAACTAGATAAATTAAAAGAAAAAGAAAAACAATGGTAATAATTATCCTTGCTCTTTTATTAATATTATGAATACTTCTAAATTGAATTTATATATTAAACATGTAAACTTATATTCTGGTTTCTTCTTATGATATTATGAAGACTTTTAAACTTTATTTAAAATAAATTAAAGGTTAAAGCTTTGAGCTCTTATATTTATCAGCAAAATTTATTTAAATTAAATTTAAATCAAACAAATATTGTTTTATTTGATTTAAATTTAATTTATTAAAATTAAATTTAAATCAAATAAAACAATTTAAATTAAATAAATATCAGCCTGCTCAGTCCCAGTTTATTTATAAATATAAAGTAAATAATAATATAATTATAAATAAAAAATTTATAAAGTATTATATTTATTATTTTATTTAAAGCTCACTCTACTGAGTTGTTAGATTACTATAGAAGTTTTTATCACATATAGTTAATATTTGATTTCAGATACTAATGCAGATTTATCCATTACAGAGACAGAAGAAGAATGAATACTAAGATTTCAGAGTGTAAAAGATTAATAGAAGCTTAATAAAATGTTATGTAGTGTAAAATTAAAAATAATCACAAAAAAAACAAATTAAAAGTGTGTCAAAAAGAAGTTAGAGAGAAATCTATCAATTGTACTTTTTTTTAGCAGCAGGTTTACAACATTTGTAGTGGAATACAAAATGGTCTTAACTTGGGTTTTTTTTAGTTTAGAAATTGTTCATTTAATAAAAACAGAGAAGTATAAAAAAGATATTGAAATAAATAGCAATAAAAAGATAAAGTGTATTTGTAAGATTTTTTATGTTGTAGATACAACTAGATCAGCTAAGAGTGTTTATTTAGAGAAAGAGTGTTCAAGTGTAAAAGATAAATTTACTTGAGTAATATTCAGAGATTTTTATCTACTCTTATCAAAAGGTGCATTAAAAATAAAATATACAGCACATGAAAAGATGCGTAACAGTAATTTATGGGGAATAAAATTTGAGAATGTTCAGCTAGCACACGATAATTAGATAGAGCAAACAAGATGATTAAATAGAGGATTAAAAATTAGAGGATTAAAGAGAAACGATGTTTACATAGAAGAACAGTGTGGCTATAAAAGATCAAAAAAATAGCAATAATCTTAGAAGAATATTTGGAATAGTTGGAAATATATGAGTTACTGATAATGTGCACTATATAACATTAATATGGTTTGCACACAGAAAAAGTAGAACTAGAAGTAGGAAAATTTGGGGAGAATATTTCAAAAAAGCTTAAGTTTAAAAAAAAACACTAGGTGCGGTGAAGTATCAGAAACGACATTATGAGAAACTTTCAAACAGGGGCGCTGAGAGCTTTTGCCCTGGCTGGGATAGCAACCCTGACTGGCGTCCTCATTTTTATAGATTTTTTCTATATTATTAGTTGAGGATCTTAGTTTTGTTACCTTTTTTTGTTTTACACCCCTGCTGATCTGAATGCTGATTAAATTTTAAGCATATATTGTGCCAAAGCTTTGGCAAAGTGGCTTCGGCCAAAGCTTCGGCTTCGGCAAAATTTTAGCTTCGGTACATCCCTAATCAAAATCATCATTAGGTTAGGTCTTATGCATCCATCACAATCATTATTAGGTTAAATCTCTTAAATCTCTAACATAGTCTGTGTTGCAGTAGCTTATCTAATATCAAGGTTTATTAGTAGAGTAAAACAGGGTAAAATAAAATAGCGGGTAGAATGAAATAGTTATGACAATATTTATTCTTTCGCTTTTAATTAACTATTGAATAATTTTTTTTAAACATTTTTTGTTTATATTGTAGAGAATATTTTTCTGAGTAAGATTGTATAAAATTTTATTTTTAATAAAAAATTTTTGTTATAAATTTATAAGTTTTCGAAGGCGTAATAAGTATTTTTTATTTGTTTGAAAAGGAAATTCTCGGAACTTAAAACTCTCGGAAATTATATTCGGTACGATTGAACATAAAATGTTTACTGGTACAATTTTTTACGCTGATCAAGAATCTTTTTTTTAAATTAAATTTGCTATTTGAGGAAAAAAATATTATTATTTAAAAACGTAAACGGATTGTTGTGGGGTTGAATGAAATACGCTAATAAATAAATAAATACGAAGCACTAGCTTATTTCTTAAAAGCGGCTTTTTTTATTAGATCTCAAGTGACCAATAAATCTCCAACTATAAATTTTTCTTATAAATTTCAATGAACAAACTTTTCTAACTGAATTTAAATGTCTTTTACTTACTGCTTTTTATAAAATGGTTCTAATAAATGAATGAAATACGCTAGTTACTCTCTTGTTAATTGCGGTCACCTTTTCTGCAAACAACCTTTAATATTTTAGTAACTCCGGCTATTCAAAAGGAAATTCAAAATTAGGTTGCAAAACAACTGCAATCAGCCCAATCACTTGCAGCAGCTTTGCAACAAATGTTTCGTATCCAACTCGTTGACACACAAAAAAGAAAAAATGTAGATGTGCCAAGATTCGAAGAGGAGTTTCTCAACAAACTTGAAATACTAGAAAAGTTGAAAGATGCTGAAAAAAGCAGCAAAGCAAGCTAAAAAACAAGGTAAGCTTAGCTCTATTGGAGAACAGAAAATAAACCAAGCAACAAGTCCAACGAAAATATTAGCTGCAAACTAGTGTTTGCAATTCCGGGATCCCGATATCCCGTGATCCCGTCCTTTTTTATTATCCTGAAATCCCGGGATTGTCTAATATCAATCCCGGGATTGATATTAGACAATTAAAGAACAAATCATTTAATGTGGTTTGTTCTTCAATAGGTTTACGTGCAGCTCTAACTGCTTTGGGATTCAGAAATCTACCAACGTCAGTAAACACAGTTCGTAATTATGTAGTAGAGTACAGCAAAAAATTAAGATTACATTTAATTTAGCAAATTAAAGCACTTAAGAGTACAGAATTTGGGGTAGGAGAGAAATTTTCTTTGTCTTTTGACGAATAGACGTCACTTCGAAATCGTCGCTATATGAATATTAACGTTCATGAAAAAAATTCTCAGTTTTGAAGTTTGGGTTTAGTGCGAATAACAGGATCAATTCTAGCAGAAACGTGCATTGAACTATTAGAAAAAAAACTTAAAGACCATTGTCTTGATCTACACGGAGACATTGTAGCTATAATGACCGACGGAGCTAGTGTTATGAAAAAAGTTGGAAGGTTGCTGGCTACAAATCAACAATTATGTTTTGCCCACGGCATTCAACTTGCTGTAATGATGTTCTTTAAAAAAAAAGAGAACTCGATGCAAATCAGCCAGAATTCGAAAATGAATTTTTTGACAGTGATTCATCCGAGAATGAGGATATCGAGGAAGATATACTGGGCTACAATCATGAAACTTTAAGATCTAAAATTGAACTAAATAAAGTTCATTATGGACCAGTCATTTAAAAAGTATGCAAGTTGATAATAATATTTAGACGATCACCTACCAAGAACGACATCTTACAAAAATATATTAAGGCTGAATTTGGAAAACAACTGTCTTTAATTATGGATTGCAAAACAAGGTGGAGCAGCCTTCTGTTACTGCTTAAACGATTTTATGAAGTAAAAAAGTACCTCTAAACGACTCAACATCATCACAAGAATAAAATAGTTTATTTTATTTGATTGATTTTTTTAACTGTTATTATTGATTTTTTTTTTTAATTGTTATAATTGATTGCTTTTTGTTTTTTTTAATAAAGTTTTGTTTTAACTTATGTTTGCGTATTTCATTCTCGCCGAATGTCAGTGTAGAGTGGAATAAATTTTTTTTTTTAACCAAATAAAGTTTCATAAAAAACTTAACAAAAAAATTGTTAGATTTTTATATATTTAAATACAGCTCAATACTCTTCACAACTTTAAAAAAAAAAAAAAAAAGGAAAAATCTTTTTTCCGTAAAAAATTAATTATTAAAATCCTAAACTATTCCATTTGACCCTACGCTAGTACTAATATACTGTTTTGACTCAACAACTGTATATTAATACAATATTTACAACATTATATTTTTTTATAACAAAGCATATTAATATTTTGTAAGCTTATGCTATAACAAAGAGTACGTTTTTATAACGAACAATATTATAAATAAATATTAAAAATAAAAGTTTTTATAACTAACAATATTATAAATAAATATTAAAAATAAAAGTTTTTATAACTAACAATTTTATAAACAAATATTAAAAATAAAAGTTTTATAAATAAATATTAAAAATAAAAGTTTTTATAACTAACAATTTTATAAACAAATATTAAAAATAAAAGTTTTATAAATAAATATTAAAAATAAAAGTTTTATAGATAAATATTAAAAATAAAAGTTTTATAAATAAATATTAAAAATAAAAGTTTTATAAATAAATATTAAAAATAAAAGTTTTATAAATAAATATTAAAAATAAAAGTTTTATAAATAAATATTAAAAATAAAAGTTTTATAAATAAATATTAAAAATAAAAGTTTTATAAATAAATATTAAAAATAAAAGTTTTATAAAAAACTAGTTTTGATTAAAAAATCAACAAAAAACTGGAAAAATAAAAAGATGCAAACTATTCATCTAATTATAGTTTAGGCAATTTACATTTTTATTATATTATAGACTTTTTGTAAAAACCGTTAAAAACTATTTAGGGACCAGGATTCTATTTTTATTCTTAGAATTAGAGAACCTAAAATTTACAAAATCAAGGGAAAAGCTATTTGATTATATCTTTGTTTTAAGTTTACCAGTTATTATTTACTTTTAGTTACAGTAAAATAAGTTCAATGAACGTTATATATGTTATTAAAAATTTACAATATTTTATTTTGTGAATTTTTTTTATCTAAGTAATTTACCTAAATAGTTTTCTGCAGTGCATACGTAAAAACCATCATCTTCAACTTGAACATCGTTTATTATAAAGTTACCAAATTCTGATACAATTGATCTTGATTTTTGAATTTCGCCGAACCCTTTCCTCCAAGTAACTTTAGCGGGAGGATTGCTCAAAACATTACATGTTGGAAATGTTACATTTGATGCCAAATCAACATAGAATATTGAGGATGAAAAAGATACCTTGGGTTTGACTTGCAATTAAAATAGAAATAGTAAAAACTCGTTATTGATTTTTGGGTAGTTTTGTTAATGTAAATATTTGCATGATGTATAATTACAGTAAATGTATAAATCAATATATTTTAGTTATGACGCATAATTATGCAAAACCAAACAAAATTTTTAGAACACTTTTTTACAGTTCCAATTTAATTTAATTTATGCTTTAAAAATTTTTGTTTGCTCAAAAATAAAAGTAAAAATCTAAAAGCAAAAAACATCTTGATAATTATGACAAATATATAATAATAAATAAAGATAATAATTACAATATTACTTCTTATTATATACAAAATTGAATACATTTTTTTTTTACAAAAGTAAACGGCATGTTAAATTTAGAGCAGTTAAAACATAATTAGTGCGACATTAGTTAAATACTTTGCTTTCAAAGCGTAAAAAATAAATTTACTACTTTACTTTTGTTTAAAATAAAACAATTGCTAACCGTATTTCTTTTATTTAAGTTATTTGAGCATGATATGATCTATTTTATAAAAAGATCGATCACTTATATGCTGACAAAAGCTGTAGTATTTCTAACAGAATTTAACTAAAATTTCAACTTAAAATAATTGTGAAATTAATGAAACAACCAAAAGAAATCTCTTTACTCATTTACTCGTCTTTTTGTGACTCAACAAACTGTCAAACCATTACATAAGCTAGCATTCGATTAAGCTTCTCGTTGCCTAATATCACTATCACTTTCACTTAAATTTTCTAAGAAGATTGAGGCTAATTAGTAGGAAAATGTCGAATTTATAGATTTATTCACAAGTTATTACGTTATTAACGTTAAAAAACAGAAACAAATTAAAGACCACTTTTTTGCGCAGTAGTCGGAGCGCTTGTTTTATCTCTCTCCGAGGTCGGAATATGCTCGAAGCAAGTTCTGGACATATTTAGCGCCATTGGTAAAGAAGAAGCGTGAACTTATTTAAATACTCTTCCGCGGCGCTCTCTGACAAAACCTGAAGGTCTTTTAGGGGAACCTAAAACAAAAACTAGAAAAAAAACTTAAGCGCCCTAAAAAAGATTTACTAGGTATTTTAAATATTCCAAATGTTTTTTGTTTTGTTTTTTGTTTTTTTAATATGCTTATTTTGCCTTCTACAATAAATACGATTTTCATATATATTTTCATACGATATATTAACAACAATATAAGTAATGGCTGGAGCAAAAAGAAGACATGTTCTGTCTTATCACCGAACCCTAAATTATGAAATACTAAACTTAATAACGACATCAAAACTGCTAACTCTTATCACAAACTTAAAACTTAAACTTATAATCTTAAAAAACTTAAAATCTTTTTACAATGGTTTAAGATAATTCTTAGATAATCTTATTCTCTTTTAGCTTAAATATTTACTAAATTGTTTTATTTTATGGGTTTTTTTTTCGTTATGCGAACAAGATTTACTCTTTTTGCCCTTGTTATAGTAATCTTAAAACATTGTTAAGAAAGCTCTTATTACTAATAATAATAACTATGGATTGATAACTTTAACAAATATTTTTTTAAAATATTTTTCATTATAAATCATCTCTTTGTACATGTTGAGATTTACAATCTCAAGATGTTCAAAGAGAAATGCAATTACAAATCGACATTATTAGAGTAGTCAAGTGATAAACAAACGAATGATCAACCAGCTTAGACAAGCGCAAGTACATGTTTTTTAACAAATAACTTTGCATACTGCGTAAAAAATCTTCAATTGATGATGAATTTAATAACTCTGGTTTCCACTGAAAAAACAGAGTTCTGTAAGTCCGATTCTCAAAGTGAACTTTGTACTGTTGTTTGGAACTCGAATTATTTTTTGGCATTCTTAACGGCATATTCAAATATTGGAGTCTTTAGTTGCTTTTACATAAGACCTCATTTAGAGCATTGTTTTGCAGCGTAGTTCCCTTTATCAATGGAAAATACAAACGCTCTTAAAGCTGTTCAAAACTGAGCTACTCTTGTTCTATCACTTTGAACCGTACATATCCCCAAGAACCATGTCCAAAATAGTCTTGTTCAGTATTACAAAATTTACAACTTCGAAAGTAAAATCAAATGAATCCATTCACCATTACTAGCTCCTGCTCTTCCGCAAACTGGATTAGCCGATGTTTTCGGTTTGGTTTTGCTTACCACGTTCGGCCACTAAGAGTTGTTTAATATGTTCCTTGTAAAATATTTTTATCGTGTAGCAGCCGATTAGAGTTCACTACCTCCTGATCTCATCAGCTTTAATGAAATAAATAATTCTTAACTTTTATACCTTTGTAGCATTATACATTATTATACATATTTATTATACAGCATTATACTTTTTGCATTAGGAATATTATTAACTTAATGAACAGATTTTTTTAGTTTCTATTCACTAGTGTTTCGTTAACCTTCTATTTTAGGGATGGACAACTTGTATTTTTTTTTGGGTTTTTTAATTGTAAATATTTTTTTTTTTAATTTTTTATTTATTGTTATTAAGGTGCTAATTGAGATCCTAACGGTCTTATTACAGAGCATCGTAGAAGAGCATTTACTTACAAATTTTACGCCTCTTTCCTTACTAAAATCACTTATTTGGTTAGAGCTGGCGTCGAACCTTGAACATCTTGGTGTTCAAGGTTTCGCTGCGCTACGGCTGCTTAGAAATTAGAAACGTTTCAACGTTTCCACGATTTTTACTTTGATTTCTGAGCGCATAAATTACGTATATATATTTATATATATATAAATAAATATATATATATACTATAGGTATATATATATATATATATATATATATATATATATATATATATATATATATATATATATATATATATATATATATATATATATATATATATATAAATTACATAAATTACATGGAAAATCGGAACTGTAAAAAAGTGTAACTGTTGAGGATGTTAGGGCCTATTCATTGCGCAACCATAAGCCGAGACTTCGTTTCTGCGCTTTTCTTTCCAAATTAAAAATCTTTAATATGATGTAAAATGTTATAGTCAAGCTAAGATTATTAACTAGTTAAATGAAGGAATATTTTTATAAAAAAAGTAATAAATAGTTAGGATTTTATTTTAAATAAAATTAAAAACAAAAAAAATATTATTTTAACAATAACAATTAAACAGTTTTTTAAAATAAGTTTTCTAAATACTTTTTTTTTTCAAATATAGCTTTTAAATTAATATAAACTTTTGTAAATTAATTTATGATGATTCAACACTTTTAATGCATGTTCTGTAATCTTAGTGTATGTTATGCACAATAATTGTTTAAAAAATATATTAGCAATTTTAAAATAATTATTGTGATAATATGATGGAATGTTCCTGGCTGGTTTCAAAAATGTTTATGTTTCTGGTTGATTTCAAAAAGGTTTATGTTTCTGGTTGATCAAAAAAGTTCGGAAACTAGAAAACGATATTAATCAAGAACTTACGACAAACTTTATTTTTTATTGAATGAAACGTAGCAAAACATAATAAAACAAAATGAAACAAAGGTATTAGAATTTTAAGACCACAGTATAAAACAAGATATTTTTATCAAATTTACTTCTAAACACAAAACGACCAATACGTATCAAATATATATTGGTTGTATTAGAATTAATGATTCTAGCTCTTTCAAATTGTCAAATAATTTACTTAGCTGTTCTTTGAATAAAATATTACTGTACATTAGTTTTTTCCGCGAGTCGTAGATATCAAATGTTTTTGAAAGATAAGCAAATTCAAATAGTTAATGTTACCATGTTACCATGTTAATCCCTGTATACAACACCATGTTAATCCTAGCAAAACAATACCATGTTACAAAAATACCATGTCAATCCCAGTAAAAACCTCATGCTCTATTTTCCAAAGCTTTCAAAAATAAAATGAAATAATTTTAAGAATACTTGATTTACATGATTACTGGCGTATATATCAACCTTTACATCGCAAAAAGAAAGTTTAACAATTCATACCGATCATTTCTATGCCGATTCCTTATTTATTTCAATATTTTTTAGTAAAATAATTCATTCTGAAAAATTGCTTTAAAAGCAAAAAAAAAAAAAAAAAAGCGCAGCTTTTCTGTATACATAGAGCTTATAAGAGATTTATAATAAGGTTTGTTTTCTATCCACTCAAGTATCGATGATATCCGTTTATACTAAACGGATATCATCGATACTTGAGTGGTTTAATGCTCTACCATCAGTGTAGTTTTAGGGGAGGGGTTCAAGACCTCATATTAGCGTAATAAGCTAAGAAATTTTATCAATCTTGCCTATATATTTAGAGCAAAAAAAAGTATATTTATATGTTATATAAATATACTTTTTTGGCTCTAAATATATAGGCAAGATTGTGTGTGTATATATATATATATATATATATATATATATATATATATATATATATATATATATATATATATATATATATATATATATATATATATATATATATATATATATATAACAATTATTATTATATTATTATAGTTTATGCTGTAGCTGGTAGAATCGTTAGCAAGTGTGAATCGCACACTTTGACAGCCTTATCAAATATCAATAAAAGTTTTCATAAATGTGTGTAATTTATCACTTGTGTATTGTATTATAAATCTTTTTAAATTTTTTCAAAGATTTTGCGTTTACAGCTTCTGCCGGCAGAGAACTCCATAACAATATGTTTCTATTTTTTAAGAAGTTATGTCTTATTGCATTGCTAATAAGTTCCTTATCGTATCTAAACTTGTGACCTCTCGTGTTTAAAATAATGGTGGATTGACAATTTCAACTGTTTCTATTTCTTTAAATATTTTGTACATCTGTATCATGTCTCCTCCGGATCTCCTCTGCTCCAGGGTTGTTAAAGTTTGAAGAGACGATCTTTTTAAGTTTTTTAGATTAGGAACTATTTTAGTTGCTCATCTTTGAACTTTTTTCTAAATTACAAATATCTCCTTTTATATTTGAAGACCATACTGTGGCAGCAAATTTAATATGCGGTCGTACAAATACTACATATAATAACTTTATTAAATTAACGCTGTGATGTGTAAAAATCTGCAAATTCAATTTGTCCTCAAATTGAATTTGCTTTTGAAGTAGATGATACAATATGTTGTTTCCATTTAAGATCATTTAAAAATTTTACTCCCAAGTCTGTAACTAAAATTGTTTTTTCAACTTCTCTGCCATCTATTATATAAGAATGAATTTTGTTTTTTGTTACGTAATGCATAACTGAGCATTTGTCAAAATTAAAAGAAATTAACCATTTTTTTGACCAAGCAACAGCGTTATCCAAGTCAGCTTGAACCGTTTCAACTTTTTCTTTATTTTCGACTGTTTATAAAATCTTAATGTCATCAGCATAAAGTTTTGTTACATTTTAAAGGCGGCCGGGCAAATCGTTAATAAATATCAAAAATAACAATGGTCCGAGTACGGATCCCTGAGGTGCACCAATTAAAACATTTTTCCATGTAGAGAAAACATCACCTTGTTTGACTCGTTAACGCCTGTTACTTATAAATCCTTTTATTCACTCTAAACGTTTTCCGCTTACACCATACGCATCCAGTTTCAAAATTAAACTTCTATGAGGTACTGTATCAAATGCCTCAGCAAAATCAAGATAAATAAGATCAACTGGTCGTTTATTTGCTAAAGAGTACGAAATGAAGTCTAGTGTTTCAAGCAGATTGGTTGTTCATGATTTTGATTTTACAAACCCATGCTGTTTTGGTTATATTAACTTATTGCTATATAATGATTTTTCTAAGGAAGCTTTTACAAAACTTTCTAAAATTTAAAGGCTTGTTACACGGAATTGAGGTATGGAAAACTGGTCTGTAGTTTGATGCTAACAGATTGTCGCCTTTCTTAAAAAGAGGTATTACATCCGCGGATCAAAATTGTAACTGCAGTATGCCGGATTGTATAGATACTATATATAAAATATATACTACTTATAGATAAAAGTTAAAGTTAATGGAATTTCAAAATTTTTGGATAAGCAAGGTCAGATCCCATTGATTTATTAAATTTTATGTTCTGTAGTTTTAGCTTAACACTTTCAAAAGTAATTGTAGAAATGTCAAAATCAATTATACTATTAAATCGCGAGGGGAAAACGGATAGTCGTCCATCGCCCTCCATTCTGAAAACAGTTTGAAATTAGTTGTTTAGTACATCGGCAATTGAAATTGGATTGTTAAAAATGCAACCATTCATATTTTTAATAGCTTTTATAGAATTTTTTACAGCTCTTTGATTATTAATATAGCTATAAAGGATATTAGGATTTTATTGGACTTGTGAAAAAGGTTTATTTCATATTGTTTTTTGGCTTTCAAAGTTTCATAGTTAACTTGTTTGCAGCATTCTTCGTATAATAATTTTAATTTTTTACTACTCCAATTTAAAGCACAATTTTTGTATCTTAAAATTTATTTCTTATAAGATTTAAATCACAATTTATTATTTTAATTTTTTGTTTTGGAGTTTTTCTTTTTCTTGAATCTAAATTGATTATAGGAATGAAATTGTTACATGCTTTAGATAAATATAATAAAAGAGTATCATATATATTTTGAACAGAACTCTGTTGAAAGCAACTATTCCAATCAATTTCATTAACAGTTTTTGATAGAGAACCATAATCTTCTCTACTGTAGTCAAAGATATATTTTGTTTTAATTTAATGTACCCTTTAAAAGCCTGTTTGAAAGTTATCATTAAATGACCCTTCATTTGAAAGTTATCATTAAATGACCCTTCATTAGGTTGCCGAGAATACTACTTGTTTCTAAACTATAAATGTTTTCATCATTCATTGTAAAAATCAAATCTATTATTAGGTATTTCAGGTATTATTAACTTCCTCTTCAAAAAATTGAAAGGTAGAAACAGACACATGCTGTATAAGATATAAATCACTCACTAAATCATTACATCTATGCTCTATAGAATCATCGTTTCTTCGAAAAGTTGTGCGTGACTGTTCGACCATTTTATGTTTGGAAAACGAAAATCTCCCTTATAAAAGAACATACAAGTTTAGGTTTATCTATTATATAATTAAGGGCCGTAGCATTTGTATATTAGACACCAGTAATTTTTAACTTTTTTTCGAAATTTCAATTACTTCAAGCTGGAGTACCTTCTTTAGACCATAAAAACATTATGGGCAAAATATAAAAGCTTCAGGTATTTCCGGTTCTATTTTATTTGGTCTTATATTTATCATATATTATCATTAAAAAGTAAAAACTTTAAGAGGTCACACAATAAATATTTGAAACGTTAACACACAAAAACTTTTATGAATGTATTGTTTATAAGGATAAGTTGTATAAATAATTTTAACTAAAATTTTTAAGGCTGTTTTTAAGGGTATTAAAAAAATAACTAAAACAATAAGCGGTTTTCAATAATCATTAGCCATTAACTGAAAAACGGATTTAAACATAACAATGTTATGTTGTTGCAGCACTTTTTATTAGGATTTACTCTAATATACAGAAGCAAAAGAAATAAACTATTTTTATTGGTGGTGACTAGATGGCGGGGCAGGTGTTAACAATCCCCCCCCCCCCACTCACCCCAAAAAAAAAATTTTATTATGCCCCTTTTGACTACTACTAAATATATTATACTTTTACTGCTGACCAAACTAATAATAATAATAAACAAATATATTACCAATTAGATTAATTTAAAGAAATGATAACAAATTACAATGTATATTCTTTCTTTGTTCTAAAATATTTTCGTTTCTTTTGACTTTGGCATTTAGCTAGAATATAAGCATTTCTTTTCTTGAGGTTACTAAATTTTCCGCTAGCATCAGAAGTCATTTTCACTGCTCTTTCAACCGTTTGCGAGTGGCTCGGAAAGTTGGGAGCCTTTCCCTAATTTGGTATCATATTCAAAAGCTCCTCATTTGATATATCTTCCACACAAGGGGGCTCAAAACAGTCTATATCATACAGATTTATTAATTTTGACCAGTTTTTACATCTACAATCCATAACTAGAACATTAACCCTAATACCATCTTTTAATCCATTTTTAGGATCCTTAATTAGGTTTTTTCTTGTTTCCAAAATCTTAACAACAGCAATTGTTCTATAAACCTGTTCTTCAGAATAAAGTAGAGTAGCAATAAAATTTTCAGTTTAGAGACAAAAAGAGTTTCTATAAATTATGGGCAATGTAATATTTTGAACTTCAGTATCCAATCTAAAAATACGCTGAATAAATTGAAATAAAAATGTAAATCTATTGGTTCGCTGAATAAATCATAAACCAATGAGTTTTTATTACGTTTGCTATCGAAACCAATTGCCTTTATATTTGAAACTTTAGATTGCTCAAAACTAGCATTAAAGCATACTCGTTCTTTCTCTCTCTTCATTTTACTTGGATCAATTACATCATTTAGATGTAGATAACCAATATTTTGAAGTAGAGCATTAGCTACAGCGGCAGCTGCTTCGTATGATATTCCATATCTAATAACCTCTAAAGCAAATTTGGGATAGTGGGTAGTGTTATAGTTCTTTGATCTAGTCTCATTTAATGATGAAATTGAAGTTTCACTCTGTAATTATAGAAAAAAATACAACAAAACTTCCAGAAATTAAAAATCATAACAATGAAAATTTTACATTTAATTGTATTAACATTTAAGATGCTCTAATTAACATTAGAGCATTATATTTAAAAGAATTAAGAAATTTAAGAATATATATAGTTTTTATCATACAATCAAAGTTTACAGGTCACAACTTATTACCTGATCTGAATCCATGATTGTGTCAAACTCTTTAATATAAATTTCTTCATCAGATGCTTTTGTTTGCTTTGTTTTTCTTGAGGTAGGTGATAAAACAGAGTTATCAATACCTCCTACTTGAAACTTTCCTTTAGTACCAATTTTCTCCCTTTGGTCTTTTATATAGGAGCGCTCTTCCAAAGGAACCTAAATAATTATTTCTGGTTTTAAATATTATTTTCAATTAATTTGTTTAAAACGTATTATTATCTAAAAATATAAAAAATAACAATAAAATATAAAAAAGTTTATCAATAAAATTAAATAAGTTATTTTAAAGTTTAATTTAAAATAAATTACTTTAAATTTGTATAACTTACTTTTTTACTACCAACACAACTACAGTAAAGATGCACATTTGAAAAACCTGAGCATTTGATTTTCCTGTCACCACAAGGAAGAACTTCAAGCTTGCAGTTACATGCTAGCAGATCAAAAAGTTTTTCTTTATTTTTTTCCAACAATTTTTTGGTCAAAGGTTTAATTTTATTTCCATTCCAAGAAATAACATAATTATAAAATCTTAAAAGTTTAACAATCAAACTTTTTTCAAGGTAACAAAACTAATTTAGAATTGCAATTGAACCATATTTTTTTTAAACTACAAAGCGTTCTTTGAATAATAATATTTTTGTCTTTAATACCATCTAAATCTTTTAATTTGTAGAAAAATCTTGCTACATCACCATAAGTTGCTAGATCTGTAATAGAAAGATCAGAAGGGCTACCACCATATAAATTACACCGTCTAGTTCTTTTTACAGGAGGCGTATTTTTATTATTGTAATAAATTAAGTTTGATAATATAGTTAATATATATTAAATATTTTATAACTCCTTAAAAATAACAGTAAAACGCTTTCGCAAGGTTCAATCTACAATTTGATACTTTACTTTTTGGTTTGTTTACATTTTTTAAGGCCGGTGTTGCGTTAAATAAGTAGCCCGTTAAAAAAGTAGACAAAATGTAAAATTTGCGCATGCGTTAGTATACGGATACTTATTTAACGCCTATAGGCGTTAAATAGGGTAAAGTGACCAAATTCCAGCCGCAACTTTACAAAATTGTTTCTACAGACACATTAACAAAGAGGTCTATATGAAAATTATACATTTCTAGAAAGATAAATCTTTCAGCATTTAGGATATAATTACAGCAATTATTATAAATAAAAAATGTTTGATAAAACAACGATTACAAAAAGTATATAAATTTGACCAAAATACAGCCACTATGACCAAATTTCAGCCAGGCGTATGCGGAATGAACCTAATTACAGCCAATATAAATAACAAGCTTTAAATACTTTTATGGGTTGAAAAGACTTTTTTAAACACTAAGAACAAAAATTCATAACAACATGATCAAATTACACATTGTTTTTTTATACTTTTATTGGTTCATTTTTATAGCAACGGTTTTTTTCTAGGATTATCTTTTGACAATACCGTTGCTTCCTTTATTTTTAAGTTTTGTAGTCTTTTCAATTTACGCATTTCTTTTTCCTTTTCATTTTGAGCTTGTTTTTGCTTCTGCTTTAACTGTGACTCATATGCTTCCTTAGAAGTAAGCACAAAAAACTTGTCTGCAATCTTAGCTTTTTTGCTCTTTCTAAAATTTGGATAAGAATATGGCAAAATGTCATTATCTCCATCTCCTGGATAAGATGAATTTTTAAAGGGGAAATTTGGGGCAAAAGATCTAGTTTTTGCAAAATCAGAAGCTAAAAGAGTTGAAACTGTAAAATCAACTTCATGCTGATCAATAGGCTGTTCAATTTCAGAGTAAGACATAATCCTAAAGCTGTCTTGAAACTTACTAGTAGCTTTATTACTTGCAGCTTTTAGTTCTATAGTTTTTATATTTAGTTCCACTAAATCATCACTCCTATGTTCTACTACGGTTATTAGTTCAGCTAAATAGTCGTGATCATTTGCTACAGCAAATCTTGGGTTGGTAATTAGATGCTGTTCAAACTCAATATCAGGTAAAAGTACTTTTGTGCTGTCTGTTGTTTGCTTCATCTGCTTAACTATTGCTGTATTATCAACTGTTTTAATTTGATCAAAGAGATTAGTCATTAACCTGTCTTCAGAATACACATAGTTTAGCAAGTAAGCTTCAGCTGTTATAATTGAAGGATTATATGGAAAGATTCCACATGATTTAAAGCCAGATTCAATGTTAGCTTTTGTCATACTTTTATTCCAGGCTTTGGTTAAAAGTAAAATTGGCCTTGTTTATTATAACCCCAGGGTGATTAGACATTATACCCTGGACTGCTTTATTATATGAAACTTTGAATGGCTTAAATACAGTTCGATCACAAGGTTGAAGCCAATTGCTTGTATGAGCAGGTAATTCAACAATTTCAATTCGGTTTTGTATGGCCATATCTATTAACTCTACGAAATTATGGGAATCGTGGCCATCTAAAATTAAAACTTGTGGACGTTGTGGTCCAATGTTTTTTAAAAATGAATCGAGTAACTTTTTTTCAAGATCAAGCGGCATTAAACTTTTTCTTCCTGCTTTTGCACCAATCTCAACTTTTCCATTTATCCTGCTCTGCAAAGTTGTTCGGGGTACTTTAAAAAATTTAGCAGCAGCTCTAACAGACATTTTAGTAATAACACTGTTTTAAGCTATAAAACAGTGTTATTAGTGAACTAATAACACTGTTTATAGCTTCAAGTAACACTTCCTCTTTATATTTCATATATTTACCTCGAGTTGGATGACATTGTTTCTTATTATAAATTTTATTTTTATTATCAGCCATTCTAAAATGAAAACTTTATATTATAAACTATTAAAATTTTCAATTAAAGATTATTTTTTAATATAATTTCATTTATAAGTAATAATTTACATGAAACAATATAATATCTTTCAATTATTTAGACTTTTGTTTATTTTTAAGTCATCATCCTCAAATTTTAAAAATATTATATAAATATTTAACTAAATAAATGCAAATATTTAAGATTGATAACTTTTAGGACATAAATGTAACATAAAGTACTTATATTAAAAGAATAAAATCTAATAATATAAATATCATACAAGTATGAGTTACTTTTAGACACTTGTGAACCTAATTTCGGCCTAGGCCGAAATAAGGTTTATACCTGGCCGGATTTTGGTCTTTCTACCAGGTGCAATTAATTAAGAAATACAATCTATAGTAATGACTCAACATAATTATAAAGCTAAAATTGTCTTTTTAAGAAATATATTTATAGTTTAAAATAATTAACATTTCGTTAAGTAATAAATATTTAATATTTATAAGCTTTAAACTGGATGCTTACATGATATTTTAAATATAAAGTAGTACTTTTTTGAGATAAATATTTTTTATGATGTTACTTCTATTATAAACAGCCGCCAACTATAACAATGCTTTTTTTTATTGGCTGAATTCATACCAGTCTTAAAAAGTAGCATTTACAAACATAAAGCAGAAAACAAGACAGAAATAATAAATTTAAAATGTGGCTGGAATTTGGTCACTGGCTCGAATTTGGTCAGTTTACCCTATTTAACGCAACACCGGATGTCATAATAAACAGGGTGTCAACTCAAAACAAACTTAAAAAAATGTATAAAACTATTTTTAAAAAACACAGTTGAATAACTGAAAAATGTATTTTTTATAATCATTGAATTAATTATGCACAAAAAATATATTTTTAGTTTTTTTAGTATGCCTTTCAAAACAGTCCTTTCTAGTTCTTTTAGTTTATCTAGCAGAGTGAACACCCCGATATATCCAATAAAAATGGCGAGTTATAAGAAATCTTTTAAGTTGGAATTTTAATGCTTATTTTTAAAATAAGATAGCTTCTACTCAACTTTAAAAGTTACTTTTTTCGCCAAAATTCCTATTTTTTTATAAGGTAATTACTCCAGCTTGAAGTGATAAATTTCCAGAAATTGCTGGCGTCTATTGTATATATATTTTTTAAAGTCAAGAGAACATATTTGCTTAAAGTTGCTTTATATATATATATATATATATATATATATATATATATATATATATATATATATATATATATATATATATATATATATATATATAAATATATATATATATATATAGCAAAAAATACTTTTAACTGTTAAACGAAGATTTTAAAGTTTTCTCGCAATATATATATATATATATATATATATATATATATATATATATATATATATATATATATATATATATATATATATATATATATATATATATATATATATATATATATATATATATATATATATATATATATATATATATATACTGGCAATGGCAATGGCAAAACAAGCTAAATTCTAGTAAACTGATTTTGAAAAAACTATGAAAAACTAAACCACTCTTGGTTAACGCAACTGGTTGCGTATCGACAGAAATTGATATTCTCTTTTTCTATTTTTAGGACCAAAAACATTTTAATCGGTCTAGTATTTAAATAGTTGGAGTCTGAAGTCCCTAATGACCCCGGGGGTTAGGATTCCCTAAAAATTGATAGAACTTTGAATCCCTGTTAAAGTTTTATAAAAAAAAACACGTCGTTTTTAAAACATAAAAATTCATTAGAATTTTTTTCAATTTGCTTTTTATTTTTTTATTTTCATAAGTTGTTTCAAGTAATCTTCAGCCACGGCTTAAAGTTGCGCGATGAATAGGTTTTTAGTATAGATTGCAATTGTGAAGTTGAAAAAAAAAAATTCTAAACAATACCGTGAACATCGACAAAACCAGATTTTGTAATTTGACCCAAAATACTCTTAGCGCTGCATGAAACGTTTCCGTGATTTTCGTGAAAATTTACATTAGATATTGTAATGTAGCTAATGACTTCGGAAGAACTTTCAATAACTTTAGTTTTGATGTCATAGTTGACTCCGTTTACAGACCATTCCACGGACGGAACTGGGTTGCCAAAAAAGCTGCACATTAGAGTCTTTTTATCTCCAATGTAAGCAGTTATATTTAAATCTGTTATTCTTACTTGTGGCTCGATTAAACCTAAACCTCTTTCTCCTTTCTGTCCCTGTGATCCTTGGTCACCTTTAAGACCTCTCTCCCCCTTTTGGCATTTTGTTAACTTTGTTTCTTCTATCGCATTCTATTTATTATGCAAACGTAAAGAATTTCAGTTTAACAAAAAAATGAAATTATCATTACAACTATTTTTAATAATAGTTTTTAAAAATCTTTAACTTAAAAAATTATACAAAATAAAAAAAAGGTTTTCTCTGTGTAATAAAAAGCATATATATATATAATTACAGACCATTAAGTAGTTAATCTGAGTTGTAATAGCATGCGTGTTAATATGGCCACTTCTTAATATTAATATATGATTATGTATTTAGTTAGAATTTATTTCTCCATTATGACTAACTCAAATTTAACAACATGCGATCATGCTTATAAATTGAAAAAAATGTTTTGTAAGACAGATGTCCGGAATATGGAATTCACAAATTTGTAAAATAGTCTACCATCTGAAATAGTGTTCAACATCTGTCACGACATTTAAAAAACATCTAGATGCATCTTGGATTCATCAAATGTACAATTGCATATAAACAATTAGACCGACACAATTAGATACAATAGAACAAAAGGTTGATAGGCTTTTTTATTTACCTAATTATTCTATTGGTAAAATTATAACCTTAGAAAATAATAATAATAACAACATTAATAATAATAACAATATGTTATATCAAAACTCTTATAATTAAACACCGAATAATTAAAATTAATTAAACACCGAATAAGTTTTATGTTTATTTTTTTAGTTGTATATTAAAAACACTTTTTTTCAGTGTTCCATAACTGAGAAAAATTTTCTATGCCTGGCTAACTCTTTCAATTGAGCACGAGATCTTAATCTCATGCTAATTTGAATCTCCTAATCTCGGGATAAATACTTACTTAGAGCCTCAAGTTGTTTATCTTCCTTAATGTTATATATAAGAAAATATTATCATAGAAACCTTTCCAAACCGCACAAACTTTAAAATTCACTTTTTTTTACTAATCAATAATTAAACTTTACTTAAAATAAAAAGCGATTACATTAAACATTAAGAAATGAAACTCAATAGTTTTTAGACTAATATTTTCAGCAAAAAAAATAATAATAACCTGAAAAAAAAAGTTAATCTGAAGTTTTTTTATATCATAAATTTATTTGTGATTATTTTTTAGCTGATGTACCGTTAAACTGAAGGTGGTAATAAAGTTTACAAAATTTTCTCTGGCTAAATTTTTCAATGAAAAAACAGTATGTGTACCATGAATGTAATCTGTTTTTCATGGCGGATCAATGAAAGTTTGGTGTATTGGCCAAATCACTTGCAAACATCTTGCCTTTAGGCTGCCATACGTAAAGTCATGCTTTTAAAAGTAACTGAAAGCAGCTGAAAATAAGAATTTTTTGGTAATTGTTTTATTTACAATATTGTTTTTGTTTTACTTACAGTATTGTCTTTGTTTTTTATCTAAACAGCTGTGTTTGACTCAAATATAGTAAATGTTAATTGTTTAGTATGGTTTCATCTCTTCTTTATACTTTTTTTGACAGTTATGAGACTGCTTTAGAACGGAATTATCTGTGCCTCCTGCTTAAAAGGATGCAGGTTACAAAAAAAGTGACACTGATGAGATTGTCTCTCAGTTTCTCAAAGATTGAAGAAATCTCTTTAGTTGTATTCGATAACGAAAGAAAAATAGAACCGTAACTGAGCAACGCCCAATATTGAGCAATGAAATAAGTATCGCCAAAATAATGAAAGTCGATGCCCACTATCTCATAGTGAGAGTATAATACAGTAGTTTATATATATATATATATATATATATATATATATATATATATATATATATATATATATATATATATATATATATATATATATATATATATATATATATATATATATATGTTTAACTCAAAAGAATAATGCAGCCTAGTACTATAGTATCACTTAAACAAGAAAACTGTTATAAATTTTAATTACTACAAATTTGTTGAAGGCAATATTTTTTATTATTTTTTAATAAAAAAAATTTAATCAAAAATACTCAATATATTGACATAATTTAGTTATACCCAGTGGACACGGACGTAAAAAAGACGTCTTTTAAACGTCTTATACACTTTTTGGACGTCTTTTGAACGTCTTTTGAACGTTTCGGACGTCTTTTAAACGTTCAAAAGACGTATTTTTTGGTCCGGTACCCACTGGATATATATTATATATATCAGGATAATATTGTAAACTATATTAGGCCAATATTGGCCAGTATAATATCCCCATTACAGGCGCGATATTATTTACAATATTGGCGCAATATTATAAACTATATCGGGCCAATGTTGCAATGTGAACATTTTGCCAATATTGGCCAATATTGACTTTATATTATTGGTGCAATACTGTAGCGCCAATATTGGCCAATATTGGCAAAATGTTCACATTGCAACATTGGCCCGATATAGTTTACAATATTGCGCCAATATTGTAAACAATATCGTCCCAATATTGCGCCAATATTGCTTGCTACTAGGGGAGTAATTCAGCTGTTGCTTCATCCAAAACAACATTAGTTAAATTAAGTATAGCAGGCTTAACAACTTGATTAGGAGGATCTATTCTAGGAGTACTCTTTATATTCGATTTAGTCTGTAATTTATCTTTTTTTTTTCATTTCCGTTTAATTGATATTACAAACACAATGCATGGAGCTAATGAATTTCAAATACTTGGA